CCTTTTGGTGTAGGCTTCAGAGATCAAATAGCACATGGATTTCTTGTTATTTTTATATTGCTTCTGAAACTTGAAAGGATTCAAGAATGGATCTGGGGATAATGCAATCATAGAAAAGAGCTCAGAGAAGGAAAAAAGTTTATTTTAAAAAATCTATATTTTTGAGTTAGTGGAGATGAGAAATTTGGCAAACATTATGTTTGTGCCAGAAGATAGTGTTCTCCAAATATATTAAGTGACTTTCTATGAGGGATCAGAACAAGAGATGTTAAAAAATAGGAGTATAAATAGGAGTCTAAAGAATGGTTGAGGTATAAAAAAACAGGTTGTAGATTGTGATTCAATTATAAACATGGGTTGTACCATTACTGAAGCTCTAGACTCACATGGCTAGGCTTGGTCTTGGGGTAGGGGGTGGGGCTTTTCACAATGATTCTTTGTCTCTTTCCCCACTCAGTGTTTTCACTGAAAGCATCAACGGTTGGCTCATTCAACCCCATCCCCTGGATTCCCCTAGAGATAAATTAGAGTTTATCTCATTCCCAGGTCTTTCTCCAGTGGTGGGAGGGAGGTCCCCAGCTTTCTTGCAAGCACCAGAAATAGCAAGACATGAAATATAGGACAGACTTTAACTTAATTCACCAAAAATGCAAAGGACTCCTACTTAAACCCATTAATAGTAGAGACAACTCTGGTGGACCTCTTCCTTCATTAGTACACCCTTCAGACATACAATACTACTGGGGTTCCCCCCACCAAAAAAGGGGGGAAGAATTTAGTGATTTGGGAGGTCTGAATTCTAGTCCCACCTCCAGCAATTCCCAGAGGTGATGAAAGCATGCTGATTAATTTCTCTGTGCTACAATGTTCCCCATATGTAAGGGAAGCTAGCAATGTTTGCTTTGACTCTAAAAGAACATCAGTTGAGCTTCTCAGAAGAAAAGTACGTCTCAAGAAGATGTATCTTGCCAGGCTGATATTTAGCCTCAGAAGCAGGAATCAAAAAATGCAGAGGATGCCTCCTCAGGAAGAGGAGACAAGAGATTTCTCCTCATTATAGTGTATTCTTATGAAGGGATGGACCTATTAGAGATGATGTAGCAACTACAGGTATGTAATACATTGTGCCAAGTACTAAGGTACAAAGATAAATAAGACCTGATCTCTGTCTCCAAGGAGCTTAGCACCAAACAGGGGTGGTAGGGTGTGCATAAATTAAGTAATACAAATTAAATTATGAGAAGTACAGAGGAAAACAAAGAGAATATTAATGGAAGAGAGACCACACCTAGTTGGGAAGTTGAGGGAAGGTTTAATGCAAGAAGTGGCATTTGATAAAGGTCTTGACAGAGGGGAGGAATTTCAACAGGAGAAGGTTGGGGAAGGCATTCTATGTCAGGCACAGAAACAGTGGAAAAGAAAAAGTTAGTTGCTCATCAGGTCTGGAGCACAAATATATGAAATGTGAGATAAGACAGGAAAAATGAATTGGACCTATATTGTGAAACAGGCTTGGATCCATAAGTGTTTAGGATCAACACAGGGAATAAGGGAATAAACATTTATGTAATGCCAATGTACCAGGCACTTTTTCAGTTATTGTCTCATTTGATCCTCTAAACAACTGGGCAAGGTAGGTGCTGTTATTATCCTCATTGACTTGCCCACAGTCACACATCTAGTAAGCGTTTGAGGCCATATTTGAACTTTGATCTTCCTAACTCTAGGCCCAGTACTCTAGTCATTGCACCACCAGCTACCTCTAAAGAAGGATGTAAAGCTTAATTCCAAATTGGACTGTCGCTGAAAGCAAATCTTTAGATTGCTCCCAGTTCATCCTACCCAGTTATTTCTCTAAATAGAAAAAAAAAGATATCTGAATGACATTCTATATAGAAATCCATTCAACTGAAAATTTAAATTTCACATGAAATTTAATGTATCATTTACACACATACCCTGAGAACTGAATACTATTTTTTTTTCCTTTCCATTAAATAAATTTTTTATCTTCATCTGCAAACAATAGGATTATGATACACTGCTTATCTAGATGAGGGCACAATCAAATTACAATGGTAGGATTCAAATTTCTGGCCATAATTGATGAGTGAGAGTGATTTTTAATTTGTTTTTGTCGTATCATTTTGGTCTTAAAAACTTACCAAAAATATTCTGTAGCTTCAGGGCACATGATGTAAGAAAAAGAGCCCTGGGTTGGGAGTCAGGAAACTCAGATTTTATTCTTCCTTAGAAAAGGTTTATGCCACATCTGGACTTCATTTTTCTCACCTACAAAATGAGGGGGTTAGCAATAGATATTTGGTCAAAGCATTGACCAAACAGTTCTTAAAAGAAAGACTGGAAACTATTCCAAATCACAGGAAATGTTGCTCCAAATCACTAACAGTAAAAGAAATACAAAGCAAAAGAAATCTGAGGTTACAACTCATATTCAGTAAATTGGCAAAGATGACACATACAGGAATCATATTAAAGAAGTTGTGAGAAAAAAGACACATGGATACACTGTTAGTACTATGCAAAAAGAAAAGAAAAACATACTTAAAGTTTTCCTTTGGCTTGGAGATTGCTTTTCCAGGCCCATTCCTGAAAAAGGTCAAAAATAGGAACAAAGGTCCATATTTACCAAAATATTCATAGCAGCATTTCTGTGGACTAAAGAATGAGAAACAAAATAGGGGCACTGCAGGTGGGAAATGTCCAAATAAATTGTGGTATGTGAATGTAACGGAAAATCATTGTCTTGGAAGAATTGATAAATGTGAGAAATTCACTGACGCTTGAGAAGACTTATTTGAACTGATGCAGAGTAACCTAATCAGACCCAGGATCATAGGCCTAAAACTAGAAGCAGGGGCTTACTGGAACCAGCTCCAAAGGGCTTGTAAGAGCCAATTGTTCAATTTTCAATGTGAGTGTTTACAACTTGGAAATCAGCAAATACTACAAATCAGGGCTTAATTTACTGTTTTGTGCATTGTCTAGCAAAGGATCATAGAGGCCATCCAGTCTAACTCTCCCATTTTACAGATGAAAACAGTATGTACAGTGACTACAATGTCAATGAAAAAAAAAATACAATGAAACTGAATGTTTTAAAATTATGATGACTAAGCTTGACCCCAAAGTAGAGATAAGAAAATGCATCTCCTTCCTTTGGAAAGAGTAAGGGACTATGAATACATATGCTGTCATGTGTTGGTTGGTTTGGCTAAAATGTTTTTTTCCCTAAATATTTGTGAGGAATATAAAAGAAATATAATATATAATGTAATGTAAAAGAGAAAACTCTAAATATAATATAAAAGAAAAAGCTCACAGGGTAGAAGAGGGGGAAAGGAACTGTATGTGTTCAAAATGCAATATAAAAGCAAAAGACATCAAAACTTTTTTTAAAAATAAAATTAATATTTAGAAAATCTATCTTATACTTTACAGCTGATATGAATAATTAATTTTTAATTAATGCTTTAAACTTTGCCAAGTGCTTTATGTATTTATCTCATTTGCCCCTCAGAACAAACCTAAAAGGTAAATGCTGGTTTTTGTTGTTGTTCAGTCGTTCAGTTGTATCTGACACTTTGTGACCCCATTTTGAGGCTTTTCTTAGCAAAGATACTGGAGCAGTTTGCCACTTCCTTCTCCAGCTCATTTTAGGGATGAAGAACTGAGGCAGAGTTAACTGACTTGCCCAGGGTCACACAGCTAATAAGTATCTGAAGCCAGGTTTGAACTTAGGAAGATGAGTCTTCCTGACTCCAGGCCTGGTGCTCTGTGCACTGTGGCGCCACCTAGCTTCCCCAAATGCTGTCTTTATCCTTATTTTATAGATGAGGAAACTGAGGCTCAGAGCAGATAAGTGACCTTCAGTGGGTCCCACAGCTAGTATCTGAGATGGGAATTATACCCAGGTCTTTATGCTCTAAGTCTAGCACTCTATCTACAATGCCAAGATGCCTCCCCAAATTAATGCTAAATATACATAATGATGCATAATAACTAAAATGGTGCAATGATAAGAGATCATAGTGGATGATCTTGAAGACCCCTCCCAGCGCTGAAATTCTATGTCTATGAGCGGCTGTCTCTTAAAAGTTCAAACTTGCCAATTATAGAGAGTATCCAATGTATCCTCAAAGCATCCGTGCGTAACAGGATCAGCTTGTCCTTCCTAATCTTGATATATGGAAAGAGTATGTAACTTAATAATGATAGCTAGCCTTTATAAGTGCTTTAAAGTTTGCAAGGCGCTTTGCAAATATTATCTCATTTTACCCTCACATCAACCCTGCAATGTAGATACCATTGTTGTTGCTTGGTTTTTTTGTTTTTTTTTTTTTTTTTTTTGGTAATCATGTCTGACTCTCTGTGACCCCATTTGGAATTTTCTTGGCAAAGATACTAGACAGATTTGCCATTTCCTTCTCGAGCTCATTTCACAGATGAGGAAACTGAGGCAAACAGAGTTAAGTGATTTGCCCAAGGTCACACAGCTAGTAAGTGTCTGAGGTCCAGTGCTTTATCCACTATACCACTTAACTGCCTCTAAGTTATTTCCATAAGATCTCAGAGCACAGACAAGTAAAGACGGAAATCCAGGCTTAGTGATATAGTTCAGACTGCTCTGGAGTCAAATGATCTGAATTCAAATCCCAATTCTGCCCCTTTACTATCTATGTGACATGTGGCATATGACTTAACCCCTCTAGACCTCGGTTTCCTTATCTGCAACAGGAATAGGTAGTAATCTGTAAAATGGAAGGACTGTAATAGGTTGACTCCAAGGTCTCTTCTAGTTTTAAATATATGATCCTATATGTCCGCTTATGATTTCTTTCTACTAGACAATGATACTCTGAGAGCCTTATTCATTTGCAAAAGCTGGTTCTACAGTTTGTCCTCCAAATATGTTCTTTCCTCTCTCCTCAGACTTCACTTCCTCTCTAATTCTGTATTGTTCCCCTTTTCCTTTATAGTTCCTTCCTTCTGGGGATTGGTCAACTCTGCTTGGAATCTTTGCTCTGTTGGAAAACGACAGTCACCAGTCAACATAGAAACCAGTCATATGATCTTTGACCCTTTCCTAACACCGCTACGCATCAACACTGGTGGCAGAAAGGTAAAGAGCATCATCATGCTTGGTATATTAAATTAAGGATGATGTAATATTGGTTACTACTATGTTCTTTAGCCTACTGCTGTCCTCTTAACAGAAGAGTCTGTCTTTCCTCTTTGGAATTCCATAGGCTTCAAACGGATGTCAACAAATTTATATTATGTGTAAATTGCACATTATTGCTTTTCTCACCAGCAATTGCAGCCCTCATCCTTCTAATTACTTCATACCAATTGGAGATTGCCCAAGGTTATGTCCGCTGCTACCTTCCAAAGATCGGGAAATAGTGCTCTACATTACTTGCAAAGCACATTTGGAGAACAGATTGCTCTCTGAAACGTGTTTGCCTGGGTCCTCAATGACTTCATTCTCCCTTGACCAATGATCAACCTAAAGATAGATAGATAGATAGATAGATAGAGAGATAGATAGATAGATAGATGGATGGATATGGATCTATCTATATCTATATCTATCTATATCTATATTTATCTGTATCTAGTATATATCTATCTATATCTATATATTAAATAGGATATAGAGGAAGGAAAAACAATAGTAAATGCAGACCTTAACCATCATGGGATAAAAACCAAATGAAAATGATTTATTTTTTATTTTAGGAATGATGATTTATTTTTACAAAATCAATAATTAATCTTCCTAGAGGAATCTTACTGGCTAGGAATGTCGCCTCTTTTACAGAAATGCTTAGCTCTGCTTTGTGGTACCTACACCAAAACTGTCCCCAGAGATGATGATCTGATCTTTAATTTGTACATCAACACAGCCTCAGTTGTTATGACTCCCTGCACTATTCCCATCTTCTTATGTTAGCATTTTTCTTCACCATTATATTTCTATTTAACTTCCTTCTGATGATGAGTCGATACTAAAGGGGGAAAAAAAACTACACATGGAGAGTTTGTACTTGAAGTTTATTTAACTACTGTGAATTTAAGAACATTTTAAAGGATTTCTCTTGCAAGGAAATGAGGTTTGAAATGACAGGCCATTTTTGGTTCTTTTTTGCGCTTGTGTTTGTTGTTGTTGTTTTGGGGGAGTGCTAATTATCCAGGATTCTGGATCATTTGAGTTCTCTGCTTCTCCTCTCTTCTTTTGCCTATTGGCTACGTCAATACTCACCAATCTCTCTGCCAGACCTGCTTCCCAATTTGATTGAGGTCCTGATGTAATTAGAAAGAGATTCT